GACCCCTGATTAATAAACCCCCTCCCCTTGATAGGGATCATAGTAGGGATCCTAGTATATTTAGGCCCTTGAAAAAGGGGGCGGTTTTTCATCATGGGTCTTCATTATGAAGGTTGCACAACTTGGGCCGGCAAGAATGACTGAAATCCCGACTACTTGAAGCCTAGGCCTCTAAGACCAAAGCCCAATTCAGACTCCAAACAACACTCAACCCAAATGTGCAATTCTGGAGGTCAAACCTCGACCGCCCAGCCAAGCAGTTTAGTGGGCAACGGGGCTGAGAGCCATGGGGGGGCATGCCACCACAATAATTTGAATTCCGATCGTTTTCTGCAAGAGCTTGAGACTGGCAATCTGAAGGCCCTGCGTACCTACAAATGTTCAACAAAGTGAAGTTTCCGGAGTAGCTGCCCTTAGGCAGAATAGTCTCCAACCACAAGTATAGTTCATGGAGGTTACAGCAATAGTAAGTAAAGACTGAGAACATTGACGCTAACAGTCACTGCGATTTTGACTTCAACTACGTGCTAGTGCAGTCAATTGCACCGCATCCGCCAAACAGTATGGGCAAAATGGAGAATAATGGGGCAGACGGCATGAGGCTTTACTTGTCTCTGAGTAAATGACAGACCACGGGGTTGTGCCATGAATGGCCGGCATTTTTTCATGAAGCGAGTAGTGGGGCATTTGGCACAGACACAACACTAAACTCAAGCCTCAGAGAGGCCCACCCAAATCCTCAACCTTAAACGCCTCAGCTCCAAACCCTATTCCCATATGTTCCACTGCTATACCTTATCCCCCTGTTCCTACATCTGACACGCCAAAACCCCTAAACACTGCAATTCCTGACCCCCCCATGAACACCTTTTGAAGTCTTTTCCATCTGATCCTCCATTGTTCTGATAATTTGAAGCCCTAGGCCATATCTTCTTCTTCTAAACCCCTGCTGCATCNNCCTAAACCTAAACCTGAAGCCCTAATAAACGCTAAGCCCTAAACCTTTTGTATCTGCCCTTCAAAGGGTTCTGCCAGGTGGCAGCTGCAAGGACTACCAGGGCATCAAGACAGGACTGCCTGTTTTGTATGCAGGATATATGGGGGGTTTCCCAAAATAGGGGTACCATTTTGGGGTTCCCCATAACAAGGACTGTAGTATTTTGGGGTCTATATTAGGGTCCCCCTATTCAGGGAAACTACCATATCAGGTCAGGGTTTAGGGTCAGTGGTTCAAGGTTCAGGTCTAAGGGTTTAGGTTTCCGCGCAAAGGGGTTCCTTGAAGGGGTTATAGGGGTCATACATGATTATGTAGGAATACATGATATGAGGATCTGTAGGGTTAAGGGTGTCTGGGTATGCAGTACATAGTAGTTTCCATAACTACGGGCTGCAAGTATGAAATCTACCATACGATTTAGCAGTTTCCCAACTTGTCGTGCTGTTTGTTGGTGGTGGGGGGGGGGTCGATAACAAGCGTCTCTGTGCAGAGGCAAAACTTCAGATTTCCTCATGACATCTGCGAAGAGCAACTTACTTGGGGAATTACATGAAAGGAAGTATGATGCCACTCTGAAAAAGAAGAGTTTAATCGATAGCAGAAATCGTTCGCAAACGGATTGTTCATAACTTCTGGAGACGGACTGTAGTTCAGATACCCAACTGCTGCAAGATTTCTTTCATCGACAGCTGTGTGCTGCATGATGTCCAGGAGGATGGAAGTTTACCGGCGAGGGCTGTGTGACTTGGCCACATCTTCGTCATAAGTTCAGTTGCAGTGTGAGCGTATACCCTCTCCCCCATGCCGTACCCCCAATCCTCATTATTGGCTGAACCCTAGATTCCTAAACCTCAGAGATCATGGACCGTCGCTAGCAAGGCTACAGGCTTCTAGTGCATCAGAACTACAACGACCCTAGAAAACACCAACGAAAAAGCCTGAATACTTTAGGCAATATTCAGATTCCTTCAGTTCATGCTTCCAACTCTGCGTGGCCCTAAGCACACGAAATCCTGTGACTTATGTGCACGAATTAAGTATCGAAAATTAGGGTGTAGCGTCCTAAACCCCAAGCCCTAGTTTCTGAATTACCCAGGTCAATGGAGGTTGCCCAAACTCTGACGCCCCGCTCTTCGGCCAGCCCGAAGGCCGCGAGGACCCGCAGCAAGCTCCAAGTTCCAAGCCCTGAATCCCAATGAGCTTAGGGTTTAGGTTTTAGGGTCTCTTTGTGGACAGCTGTTAGGGGGTGTTTGGTTTCGGGCTTAGGGAGTATAGGGATTAGGGTTCAGGCTTTGCAGTTTAGGGCTTAGGGTTTAGGGCTTGGGGTTAAAGGTTTAGGACTTCGGGTTTAGGGCTTAGGGTTTACGGTTTAGGGCTCACGGTTCCTGATTCTGCCTGGGGCGGCTAGGGCTCCATTCATCAGTTCACACGCGAACAGAACACGGTTCCCAGTCTAAAGGGAGTTTGTAAGATTTTTGTCCATTCCTGGGCGCCAGCATCTTTAATATGGCATCAGATACAGTAGCCAGGTACCCTGAAGCCTACACCCTAGACCTTAACCCTGAATCTAAACTTAAGAGATTATGATTTCTGGCACACGTGAAATGTACCTTCAGGTACTTAGGTACCCGGTTTCATTAGCCCAAGCGATCATGATTTGTGAGACAAGTGAAATGTACCTTCCTTACCATAAACCCTAAACCCTTGTACTTTCTGCCTTCTGCTCCAGGACTTAGAAGGCTGCTGCTGGTGGGGCAGAGGCGCAGAACAGCAACTAAGGGTCCAGGAAGCCCCAGGCTCTGTTTTCAGATGGAGCTTGCTACGACGTTTATCATTGTCAAGGGTTTAGGGTTAGGGCTTGCTATTTCTGTCAAAATTTCTATTGTTGTTATTACTATTACCAGTGTTAATACCAAGTGGAGTTCAGTCTTTTTGTTTGGGAGTCTGTGGTTTGCAGGGCTGGGTTGATACAAGTAGGATTTGCAGGGTTGAGGTCAAAAGAGCAGAGAGCCCAGGACCCCACTCTTGAGGAATTGCCTCTACATCCATCAAGTCAAGAATCGTAGCCCTGTTAATGGGGCTCTGGTATTCGTTGAGTGCTGGCTCCATTTTTTCTCCGCCCTTTCTGACTCTGGCACTACAGCTTCTCAAATGAGCCATAGTCTAAACTCCTTAAAGGGGGGTTATATAGGGGGTTATTATAGGGGACTACTATAAGGTCACAGGCACATAAAAAACCTGGAGCTTTGAGGTTGCTGAACTGGTTTTCGCTTGTGTTTCGCGCAGATTCCACGTTTTAGGGGAAGGCCTGGCTACCAGCGGGCGAATTAGGAAAGCAACTCTTATGTTCAGGAATGTGGTTATTACTGTGGTTTCGGTG